ACCCAATAAAGCTGCCAGAACAAACTTCGCGACAAACGACGCGCTTACAACGTAGATCGTTAAACCAACTTTATCCAATAAAGCAAAAGAAGAAGCGAAAGCCAAGAGATGAACGGTGAGGAACGAGCCGCCCTTAGTTAGAAATCAAAACAAACACGAACCCAATCTGATCCTAACACACAACAACTACTATACGCTTCCGCGCACAACCGGAACTAGCTGTATGCAGCCTCGTTCCTGAACAATATAAGCACGGCGAGATGGCCGAGTGGTTAAGGCGCGGCGTTCAGGTCGCCGTATCTCCGGATGCGTGGGTTCGAACCCCACTCTCGTCACTTTTGTTCCTTTTTGGATGGTTTTTAATCTTCACCGAAAAGGTCTTGTTGAAACTTTATTCAAATGCACACACACTCTCATTTCCATATTAGTAGTATTAGCGTCTACTACATTCACACTAAATTGGACATCTCAAGGATCGAATTATTCAACGGCAAAAACGTACATGTTCTACAGTTTTGAAATCCCTGTTGTCCGCAAGGAAGGGCGTCGTCAATGGTGTTCCTTGGGGACAACAGGGATTTCAAACTTGCCCTTTTTGTGTACTCAAACATGAAGTCCAGTTTGGTTGGGATTACTTGAAAGTGGTCGATCAACGAATCAACGTCCACGTAAGCAGTTGCCGAGCAATTGTGTATTTCTTGCTTCACAAAGTCAGAGACTCATTTGAGGGACATGCATTCGATTCCCTCAAGTAAACCGGAGCACTTGTTCAAACAACACTCGGAACACACAACTTCCTTCCCAAAATCGGCCAAAGGCAAAATCAGAACGGTCGCGAGGAATCTTCTATTCAGTCGATGGAAACTATCACCCTATCGGTTTTGCAGACGCAGCTTTCAACGTCCACTACGACACCAAATCTCAGTTAGGCTATATGGTTGTTTTATCTGGTGGAATTATTTCGTGGAAGTCAACAAAGTTTCAGTTGTTGCTCTGGCATCGTTGGAGGCAGAGTATATGGCCATCAGTGAATTGGGTCGTGAGATTCAAGCTACAGTCAATTTGTACGAGACGTTGAATATGGATTCGCCTGTGCCCATCACCGTGTACAAAGACAACATGGGCGTGATTTCTCTTTCCACCAATAATATCTACACCAATCATATATATCAGGGAAGCCAATATCGACGCGTTTCAAAGTTTAATTCTATGTGACGTGTCGACATGGGTCCTTGAGTGCGTATCCAACGAAGCGCGCTTATGTTTTGATTGTATTGATCATTCGAGTTTCCTAACTGTTTTTGCGCCAGCCAGCAAAGTAATCAAGTTGACAAGAAGGATAAGAGCGACAAATCTGCAGCGCGTGGCAATATGCCTACGATTACGGAGAAGAATGGCAGGGTAACAGGTATATTGCATGTCAATGGCAAATGCTATGTGCTGCCAGTCCAAACCTCTGAAAGGGCTTGTGAAATTCGTCGCAAATGTGGTTGTCTCCAATTGTTACTTTGTCCAACGGCTCTCAGCTCCAAACTTGAACACATTCCTAGCCGCGAAATAAAGTAAGATCGAAACCCTTGGCGTCGTGCGAATAGTTTATCAAACGAAAGTGTGGGTAAAGTTTTTGAAAATGCATGGTGCAAAATCTATTACACTTCAGCTATCTACTTTGTTCATGGCAGATTGCATTTCATAACAGCAGGCAGTAGCAATACACCGGGCCGTCCTTGTCCCTCTAAACTTCTAAAAAAGACATTTACTTTATCTCAACTTCAAAAACTATTTTCTTTTAGATTGGTGCAGGGCAGTCGTTAGGGAACGTGCAGGTTTGCTTGCTTTGGCAACTGAGACAAACATGTTATGTTAGATTCAACGGACCAAACCAACAGGATAGTATGCACTCACCAAACGGTACCACCACCGCAAGTAATGCTTCCAACAACAGCTCCGCTCGCGCAGATTCCAAACTTGTTTGATTCAGTACACAAGATGGCACCATCAGGAAGTGATCCGCAGGAAGGGTTGGGACAAGCGCCGGGCGCCAAGCAGGTCTTTGTGGTTCCGCAGCATTTGCTTCCTCCCAAGCAGGTCTCGGTGCCTTGGATGACTGTTTTAAAAAGTGTTCCATTAGAATAAATATTTAACAATGCCCTGTAAAGTCCATGACATGAGATGGAGTTACGTTACGTACAGTTGCTGTCGCAGGTGAAGATGGAGAATCCATCAGCTGAGCAAGTCTTAAACCCGTTAGCAATTCCGTTGCAGGGTCCACCGACAGGAGTGGTGGGGACTGGGCCAGAGGGCACTGTTGCGGTGACCGTGGGGCAGGTGCCAGAAAAGTCGCACTGGCCGGTGGCGGCACAGCAGACAGTACCAGCGGGGCAAGGTTGGGGGGAAGTGTTGGGGTACAAAGCTACATTCTATGTTAGTACACAAAAATATTGAAAGCTGAGTGGAAAGGGAAACATTACTCACCATTATTCAAGCAGTACTGGAATGAAGATTCTGAAAT